TGAGGTAATATTATTAGTGTCGGTGGTCTCACAAATGAATCAGGGTGAATTGCAGGTACATTAATTAGCAGAGAATAGACAATTATCAACTTGTTATTCATTATCTCGCAGTTATTTACGGTTAATTAGCTGTATATATCCCAAAACAGGTGCTCGGAGCTAGTACTAGTCTATGACTTTTAAGTAACAATTATATTTATATTCACAATCAGTGGCGGATCGAAGGGGGATGGGATCCGGGGGTTTGATTCCCCTTTTTGTGAACGATCATGCATTGCATTTAATCAGAGACATATATGTCTCTGATTTAATGGAGACATATATTTCAGTGGCGGACCCAGAACTTTTTGTAAGGGGGGAGGGGGGCGCTGACTGATCTAAGGGGGGGGCGCTCCAGTCATGCTTCAGTGATTCACTATATAATCAACCAAATTTTTCCCACCAAAGGGGGGGGGCCTGGGCCCCCCTCCCTCCCCCTGGATCTGCCTATGTATTAAGACCCCCTTTATCCTGGCTAGAATCGCCCCTGATATTACATGTAAATCAAGTCCCGGGTTAATTACTGTTAGCATAATAGCATAACGGTAATCACAAAGAGTGTGGTAATTTTAAAAAGGACGAGGATTTATAAATATACAATTCTTGAAGAGGGGGAGAGTGCACTTCACGATGATCGAAAAAAAGTGCCTTGCATGTTATTTTCATCATCTTGTCTAAAACAGTCTGAATAATGAGCTTCATCCGAAGCGCGAAAATAAGTCATGTGAAATACTAACGTTGTACGGACAAACCCTTCAATCCCTCAATGTTATGTCAAATGAATTATAGCGAGGAAAAGTAAATTTAATTTAATATCAAAACTAAATATTTGTTATATTTCGCTCCTGATTTCTCAAGAAATCATAGAATCAATCAATGTATAAATTTCAATTATGCATGTCTGTGTGAGATCCATTTCGTGAGACCAAGGATTTCTATAAAATCTTTGATGGGACCCTTTATATATATATGTCTCTGATACAGTTTTCTATTTTCCCCGGAAAAAATTTTAAAAATATATAATCTTTTTGGAAATAATCCGATTTTGTTGAATTATTTCCTTTCGTAATTATGATAAATCCTTTTAGTTCTTCAATTTTAAATTAAAATAAATATTTCATTTTGATCTAACGACAAACTTTTTAAATTGTAGTGGCATGGTCAGTCAACTGATTAGTTGCATGGCTGATTACCAGTTTACTGGTGACCCAGTAATTTTCCATATGACAGTGGCGTGTACCCTTGGGGTGTGTATAACTTATTTTGAATACCTTAATTTTCTGGGGAACATCCTGTCCACGTGTAATACTTAGTATATATTGCAACAGATGACATTAAACAAATTTTCTTTGTAGCATCGGTTTCCATTTCATGTTCAACCACTCAAAATTTTCACAATAAAGATAATATAATAAAATCATTAAAAAAAAAGATTAAAAAAACACTAGCAAATAAACTTCGCAATGAGTAAACGGGGATTTGTGTTTTAAAGGGCTTATTTCCAGTGAATATATTTTATACTAGATAACTAGACCTGAGATAACTTTTTTTTTGTAATATATATTTTATTATTTTCATATCATTCTCAAATCTCGATCATCTTAAATAAAGATGTATAAAAAATAATTTTGTTATAACTCATAAATATATGGTTAATCATAATTGTTACAAATTATAAAATGGTAAGTCAATGCCCGATGTGCCGCCGTCTGTTGTAAAACAACGATTTAATCTTTTAAATGAAAGACGTGCACTGCCTTCATCGGAATAGAGGAAAGTCCACCTAGTGTACATTAAAGAGTATCAGTTTGTTATGCTGAAAAAAAAGAGATCATCATAAACTTTTTAGCAGACCTTCTCGTGTAAAAAAAAACAAAAACTTTTAACTGAATTAAACAAAAAATTATCAAACAAAACTCATAGTAACATTTTGTTTAGACCTGAGATAACTTATAGTAAGATTATTTATATAGAACAATAAAAAAAAATGTCCAATCTGATACACGTACCTATAATCTGGGACTATTATACTAACTATTTTTTTAGTATAATAGTCCCAGCTATAATGTACAAAATTTTGAACAGCTTCAAATATATGGCCTTATCATTGGTAATGTATCATATTTGTATCAGTTATTGCTGAACGTGTAACCAAATTAAAATGAAGAAATAGGCTCGAAACCGCATGTTTTAAAGATATTTTTTTCAATCCCAAAATAGATAAGAGATATGCAGATTAATTAAAGTCCCGATGAGAAGATTCACTTTCTTTTCTATCGAAGTAAATATATTAACAAAGATTTAGGATATCAATAAATTATTAAATTCATCAATTTATTAAATTTGAACATGTGAACCAAACAACGAAAAAAAATAAACGGGAAATTGGCTATACCTTTTTGGTATTAGCCACGAAGCCATGTATGTACCAGCCATTTTAACTTATTGTTTTCTTAACCTTTAAAGAATACATTTTAAAATGAACTACTTTATTTATAGTAGTTCAAGAAAAATATATATATATATTAAAAAGTTTTAAATTTTGTCCATGCTGTGCATAAAATAGGGAAAAAAATAAGGCTGAAAATGCACCAAATATTTATATTCAATATGAATATTCACATTTTGTCTATTAAAACAATTTTTGAACAACTTGTTGTTGTAATAGACAAAATGTGAGTATTCATATTGAATATAAATATTTGGTGCATTTTCAGTCTTATTTTTTTTCCTATATATATTATATGGCCTTCCAAATACCGTTTCGATCCCTAACATCACTGAAGAGACATTAAATGTCGAAATCCGGATATGGTGTACAAATTTTTGCACCTCATGTTTGCGGTATACCATCTTTTCCGTAAGTTTATTGTTTTCTGTTTGGTATTTAATTAATATGTAAGATCCATTTTTTACATCTGGTGATCAATTTATTTGGTAATAGCCAATGGCAGTCAGCAGGGTTTAAGAACATCAGTTGTTCGACCTGTTAGTCAAATGCGTTTTGTTAAAATATACTTTTTCACTTTTTGGTCTTTTGGAAAATGTTGTTTGTGCTGTATTTAGACCCCTCTACCAAGAAATTTGTTTTACATGCACACGTATAAAAATTGCGGTTTTTATCCAACGCAATCATAGGTTTGAACGTTGTTTTCAATTTAGACGTGTATATAATAGATAACTCTTTCCTTTATATTCAATGGAACAAGAAGCGAATTCGTTAGCGAACTAGAGTAACTATAGAAATAGCGTCGTTACAGGTCTTCTTCTGACCGGCAATAAATCCTTAGCAGTAATGATAGTGGAACGTCCATTGGGTTGTGCTCAGACACGTCCGAATGGGGACGCTGAGTCCTTGCAGCAACTCTTCAAGTGGACTATAAGTAGCCTGGTATTAGGCCAATTTTCTGTCCATCCTTTTTCGTTGGCAGTCGAAATTTTCCGACCGTATCACGGGCGGTCTCAATTACAAGACCTACATGTACCTATCATATATTATTCGGTACGTCAGACACACCCGACATTAATCAACCAAAAACTCAATATTTTACAGTAGGGAATGAATATCTCCAGATGAAGATTACATTATGACGTATGTTTTTTTTTAAAGACCAACAAATCGATTTTTATCACCAAATTTGTCTTTGCTGAGATTAACACTAAAAAAGTATAACAAAACGTAACGATTGAAAACTCACAGTTCAGTTTTTAAGATATTTTTTTCTTTGGAAACTAACAGACTAATTTTCAAAAAGTGTTTTTCTTGAACCATTATTTATGAAAACGAATTGTAAACAAAAGTTATTCTCAAATATTAATAATGATCAATGATTGTAAAGAAAAAAATCCATCATAGTAGTTTGTTAATTTACTGGCTCCATGGTGTTAAACATGTCACCTTTCTTTTACAATTAACTGATTAAAAATATGAAGCCTTTACTGTAAAATAAATCATTCTAATAAAAATAAATTCATCCAGATTTTTCTCTCATGCATAACCTTTCAACAGTTATTGTAAACTAATTTATTCGAACTATAATAGTCCTATGACTTGCTATCCGTTTACCAATATTTATACTTTATAGAATGTTTTCATATTCATTAATCATTAACTTCATGTTTTGCGAATACTTATAAGGGGGTAATTATTATAGTCAGTAATAGCTAACAATTTATCTAAAGAAAACGAGATGCTATATTCAAATTCTGAGATATGAATCTAGTTCTTAAAAAAAAATTCTCCACAACAAAAATTCTACACTTTCATTTATCTGGGTCTTTTTGTCTCCGCTTCGAAGCCGCCATCCCGTACCAGACATATTTATTCGTTTGGCAATATACAATCATGTAAGCAATATACAACAGGCAGTAGATCTGAATTTGTAAATTGTTATTTTGGATTTTACCTGATTAGGACGTGTCTCGTTGAATTTTCTAATAAACTTACCCACACATAATCTGACTTTTAATCGTAATGTTATGAGATCTATAAGAACATAGAGCTACTGTATAGGCCTAGTTGCATGCAAGTCTTTACAAATTATATATTTTGGTATGCTATAGTTGTTTTTATAGACTATTTGTCATTTGGCCTTTTTTTTGTTGTTTTTTTTTTTAGTTTTTGACATGGCGTTGACTCGAGTTTGATATATTATGCATCTTTTGTGCTGTATTTTAACAATTATTTACAAGCATGCTGCATGTTTACACATTCATCACGTATACCGCATCTAAATATAGCTTTATTGTAAAAAAAATAAGGAGATGTAGTATGATTGGTGATGAGACAACTATCAACCAGAATTTAAAATACCTTATATAAGCAATTGTGACTTACTTTCTTTACTCAGAGTGATCGTAAATTAATCAGATAAGCTGGAGGAGGGGTGGGGGGTTCATATAGACCCATATTAAATGAAAAGAAATTAACATTAGTTTTTTGTGATAAATATAGAATAAACTCACAGTAACAGAAATAGCTCTTGAAAGCTCTGTCAGATCCCGGCACTTTTAACTGTTTTTTGACACGTGCTAAAAAATGCAGCACCTGGTTACAAGGGCTTATTTGACAAATTATCATCTTTCGTAATCTAAGTTATAAAATCTAAATTTTAAGTGATCTAAAATGTTCATGACTAACGAGTATTTTCACTTGTACGATTTTTCTGTGAAATGAGTCTAAGAGTATATACATGTATATCAGGATACTGACTGCATAGTAAAATATTTATGTACCATTAGTTGCGACTCATTTTGGTCTTTTAAGTAAGTTTCCTTCCCCTGCATTACTTGATCGCTTTTGTAAAAAATAAACAGCACAACAACAACAGCACTCGACGTCAGTATTGTACCAAAAAATGAAAAAAAATATTCAAAAAGAAGGCTCATAAAATTCAAATATTGGTAAGCACACACACTAACTTGTCACTACAGACATGATCTTTTTGTTAATGCGCCAAACTCGTTTCGTCCACAGGACGATGTCGATGGTGGGGAAAACCTAGTCCAAATAATTATGACGTCTTGCAAGGCTATTTAGGTGTCCCAGAAAAAAAAATAGCCTTGCCAGACGTCATAATTATATGGACTAGGGAAAAACCAACAAATCATTAGTTCCCCAAATGAGTATCCAAGTTTAAAGTTTTTTTTAATATACATGATATATACATGATTTAGCTATTTCATATTGGAATGGCACATATTCATGAAAAATCAACAAATGATCTGAAAGTCGGAAAGATGAATATAGTCCTCTGACTTCACAAACTTGGAAACAGTTGTGATGTTGCTTCGCTGAGCTATAGATAACCGTACGACCATCAACAATGAGCAAAATTCACACCATATAGACATAGGTGCTTGAGGACAGGAGTCGAGATTCACGTTGATAGTAAACATGCATATTAAGAGTAAAAATATGGTATATTAGTATGTATATGGTACAAATAAGTGATATATATACTGAAAAATCTAAGATTTATGATAAGGGGGAGGGACTATGGGGGGGGGGGGGGGGGGGGGGAGGGGGCTCAAAACAGGATCCTGTCCTCAAGCACCTATGCATATAGAAAGCTGTAAATATAATAAAAGGCCTCGAAATGATAAATGTAAAACAAATCAACAAAAAGCCTTACATTTATAATTGAATTTAAAATAGAATTGAAAATAGAAATGGGGAATGTGTCAGAGAGACAACAACCTGCCCAAAGAGCAGATGAGTCGGTCACCAATGTGACTTCAATGCAGCGAGAAAATCCCACAGCCTGAGGCGTGCTTCAGCTGGGTCCTTAACAAAAATACATACTAGTTCAGTGATAATGGACGTCATACTAAACTCCGAAATATATAAAAGAAACTAAAATTAAAAATCATACAAAACTGACAAATGCCACATATAGTCTCCTGACTTGGGACAGGTGCAAAAATATGGTGGGGTTAAAAGCCTATATACTGTTAATTTCAGAAATTGTTGCATGCATTTATTAATATTGCCAATTAACATAATCATGATAATTTCCCTTTCAATTTAAAAAAAAAATTCTAATTTAAGTTTTTATTGTATATTGAGACTTTGGATAGTCTCAAGAATGCTTTCACCAATTTTTATGAAACTTTGGTGAATTGATTTTAAATATTGACATAAACTCCCTTTACATTTTTATGACCCATAGTCATGTGATAGTGGGTCAACCCTTGACCGTCTGTCCGTCTGTCCCAAAGTCATTGGTTTTTGTTCTCTAATTTAGTTTGCCTCAACCAAATGTTATAAAACTTTTACAAAAGCTTATTACCACAATACTCAGATCAAGTGTGAATTTTGGTGATGTTAGTGTTACCGTTCTAGAGTTATGCCCCTTTACAAATGGAAAAATTGCTGAATTTTTGGTTTCCGGCTCTCTATCTTTAACTTTAGTTTTGCCTCAACCAAATGTTATGAAACTTGCACACAATGCTTATTACCACAAAAAACAGTTTGAATTTTGGTGGTGTCACTTTTACTGACTCAGTCTGTTCTAGAGTTATGTCCTTTACAGATGGAAAAAATGATGAATTTTACGTTTCCGTCCTCTAAATTAAGTTTGCCTCAACCAAATTTTATTAAACTTTAACGCAATACTTTTTACCACAAAATCAGATCAAGTTATAATTTTAGTAGTATAAATTTTACCGTTCTTCAGTTATCTTCCTTTATAACTTTATATGATATGCAAGCCGGAGTATCATCCCCTATTTATTTTTATATAAGATGCAGAGTTATGGAATTTTAGTTGTTGGAAAATTGTTTAAAATTGTCCATTTTCACACTTTGGAAGGTTTTAGAATTGTATTTGTTCAAAAATCATGGCCTTAAACATACAAAATGTATATACACTTGCAATATCCCTTAAAATGGAGCCAAATTATTTTCATGTTTTGTTTCAATGAATACCACTCTGTGTGCATGTCCTTTTTTAGCTCTTCTGGCTCGAAAGGCCAAGTGAGCTTTTCTCATCACTTGGCGTCCGTCGTCGTCCGTTGCCGTTGTTAACTTTTTACATTTTGAACTTCTAGAGAACCACTGAATTCCTTATGAGGTGCTGACCAAGAGTTGTTACTTTGTTGCCGATCTATCATCCAAGATGGCCGGCAGCGGGGGACTTAGTTTAAGATAGGACCCTATAGGAAATACATACAAATGTCTTCTTTTAGAGAACCACTGAATGGAATGAAACCAAACATAGCATGAATGTTCCTTATGAGGTGTTGACCAAGTGTTGTTACTCTGTAGCTGATGCATCACCCAAGACGGCCGCCAGCGGAGTAGGACAATATTAAACCAAATATGGCCTCAATCATTATTAAAGTATCTGTTATGATTTTTATCTTTTTTATATGATTTCAAAAACCCAAATAGAGTCAGGTGAGCGACACAGGCTCTTTAGAGCCTGTAGTTTTGTTTTTTGTAGGTGGGGGGGGGGGGGGGGGGGGGGTCTTAGTTGCGCAGTGCTCAGATTTTTTTATAATGTAGTTGATCATTAAAATTCATTTAAAGCATAAACCCAAGCTAAAAGGGCAACAAGCTTATCAAGCACTCATGGTACAGCTTTTTATTAAACACGTATTGATATATATACATTAAACAGCAAAATAATTATTGATGCAAGATGTCATTAAATAATAATTTTTACTCTTTTTATGTGTAGGACAAGAACTATAGAAGATGCAGAGAAATTATAAACAGCAGAAATAATAGGCAATTTAAAATTTGCAGAAGTCAACAAAACCTAAATGGTAAGTAAACTCATCATAGATACCAGGATTAAATTTTGTATTTACGCCAGACGCGCGTTTCGTATACAAAACACTCATCAGTGATGCTCGATAAGACTCATAAGGCCACTTTTATAAAAGTTATTGCCCTTGAAAGATGATTATCATGATTATTATAAAAATAAAAAGATGTGGCATATTAAATATGAAAACTATTGATCATTGCTCTAAGAAAGCAATTATAGGCCAGTGACGGCCTTCAATAATGAGAAAGTCCATACCCTATTGTCAAAGTAGTCAGCTATAAAAGGCCCTCAGACGAAAAATTGAAATAATCCCAACTGTAGAACTAATTGCCTAGTTTATAACAAAACAAATTAAAAAAAAATAAATATGACAGATATGAAACAACTACAACCACTAAATTTGAGTGTCAGAATAAACTACAGGCTCCGAACTTGGAACAGGCACAATCAGAATATGGCAAGGTTATATAAAAATAAGAAGATGTGGCATGATTGCCAATAAGACAACTCTTCACCAGACAACAAATGACATACCGGTAGATTTCCTGCAAAAAAATAAGCAGTCCGAACTAAGCAGGAAATGTATACCTTTCTCTTAATCGAAAAGACACAAAGATCTGTTAGTACTCACAGCTACTGACAGTTAGTTAAAAATCAATAAAAACTAATACATGTAATAAAAAAATCAGGTTTGTGAGCACTCAACCCTACCTTAACCTTGGACAGTGGTTGAACAGCTCAACATATAAAGAACAAACTGTAAAAATAACCGTTGCAATTGCCTCAACTCGAAAGATTGATAAAATGCACAAAATCAACTACCGGGGTAATATTAAAAACCCATAGACAAAAAGCACGGAATTAAGAGAACTCACAAGTCATGCAAGTAAGAAAGGAAATATTCTTAAAATGTTCATAAACATGACAAAATAAGCTTTTTTATTGCTGTTTCTCTCTCCATTTATAACATTTTATTTGTTTATTTTGTGTATTTATAGGTGATCAGACATCTTGGTTTTCATGATCAATAGGTCAATACTGAAGAGGAAACTGAAAGTTGATATCTATCTACATGGTGCGCTAATTGGATTAATGTGAAATGGAATGTGTGCTTCCCTGCAAAAAAGAAATAGGAAATTTCATCATAATCACATGATAATGGCTATAAACAAAATGGAGTATCATAGATGCAGAAAAACACAATTGTATAAATGCAACAACATATTATATATATTCGTCGAAAGAAGGGAGAAATGAAGAAAAAAATAGTATTTTGTTGTTGAAAGGAACACCAGCTTTATCCACTCATTTACATCGCTCCCTCATATCAAATATACTGAAGAAGATCTTGGAAGAACAAATTGAATTGAATAACTGTACACAGCAGCTGAAACAGAGGAAAATTAAAATTTACAAGAAAAGTGTTTATTTTATTATTTAATTTGCAAATATGAACGCATTCTTAAGAACTCCACAAATGGTATGACATTCAAATTGGTTGCTTATTAATGTATACAATTGAAACAATAACAAAGAAAACAGAATACTTTGCTACAAAAAATATTTTAAAAATCAAAGTTAAAGTCATATAAAGTATGTACAATACCTTGACCTAAACAGTCAGACTCACTATATTGTTTTTGTATGTCATGATAATTTTGAGTCAAAAATTTATTAAAGTTTAAATATCATTTGTATCATTTATTAAGTCTTGTAAACATTATGTTCATACTGTTTGTATAGTGAAGAAATTTACAATGAGTAAAAATAGGGGAAAGCATTTCCTACAGGAAAAGTTGATGTACAGAAATTTCCTTAGAGGAAATTTGGAGAACAATGTTTTCCTTAGAGGAAATTTGTGGTATTGAATTTTCCCTCAAGGAAAAGTGTTTGTTAAATATTTCCTCAAAGGAAATTGCAGTTGACAAAATTTCCTCACAGGAAAAAGTATTTCCTCCAAGGAAAATTTGAAGCTGCAAATTTCCTCAGAGGAAAATTTGAAGCCTCAAATTTCCTCACAGGAAATAAAATTTCCTCAAAGGAAAATTTGAAGCCGCAAATTTCCTCACAGGAAATAGAATTTCCTCAAAGGAAATATTAATGCAGCAAATTCCCTAAGGGAAATCTTTTTCCCTTGAGGAAAATACAATTTCCCTTAAGGAAAAATCTTTTTCCTTTAGGGAAATTTGATTTCCCTTGAAGAAAACTACTTTTCCTCTGAGTAAATTGTTGAAAAAAGGGGCATAACTTTTTCAACAGTGGTGCTAGAGCCAAAATTTTTTAGGACAAATATCAGGGAACCAATACCATCCAAGTTATCAACTTCATTTTGATTTAACTCCAAAAATTAAGGTGACAACTTTTGCACTCAGCGGAAGTGCAAACTTGTCCCGGAGACTGTTTACACCCCAGTTCTATCGTTATACTTCATAGTTTCTATTTCTGAAACAAGTGTAAATTGAATAGATCTATTGTTACGAATAACAAAGGATTTTGACCACAGGGTGTGACGAGCGGGGTTTCTGGAAACCCCTAGCTGCTTCTACATCCCGCAAACAAAGTCCATTGTTATTCGTAACAATAGAAATTGATTTTTTTTTAAATAGCATGAACATAAGAAACTACTAATAGTGTTCACTACAAATTGTTTCAAGATATTAAAAAAACACATTTTAGGAAATTCCAATTGCGAAAAAAAATTAAGCATCTATTTTGAATACAAAAATAATCCTTTAAATACTCCTTTGCTTGAAGGTAATCTTTTTTATCCCAGTCATATGTCTTTATTCTAAAGCATTGGTCTTTTAAAAAAAAAATGGGGATTCTAACTCCCGGGACCCCCCCTCCCCCGGGTACCCAATGGCCGATCTGGGGGTGGGGGTTCCGCGGTTTGGACCCGACTTTTATTTAAAAGATCAATGCATTTGAATGGTTGGATAGTCGGGTCGGGTCACACCTATCCCTTAGTATGTTTGTTTATTTTGAGATGAGGGGGTGTGGTTATAAAACCGTAAGATATAAAATACAGTTATGATTACCTTTATTACACTGATACAGGTAAGTACTTTGGGTTATAATATAGCCTTTATCTTAAGTCTCTTCTATCAAATCCAACGCTTGCCACAAAATGTCGTCCGTCTTATACCCGTCCATATTGACAACTGCATACAAGGAGCATGATGTATTTTTTGTTTGTAATAAGAATACACGAAACGGTCAACCTTGACCCGCTGATCCATTTTAGCACATGGATTTAACGGGAATATGTAAAATATACTCACTTGTCAAAGTTTGAACAAAGATACCCTAAGAAAGGTTACTAGTGGGGTTTCATGTAATAAAAAAAAAATTCTTATAAATCATGGTTTGATATTGTCAATAAATATGTTATCGGTTTTTTTTTCATTTAATAATCAATGTTAACAAATAATGGGTTTAGAATGGGGTGTAAGTTAGTTATACACCTCGGGATACGGCGTGTCTGGATAAGAAACCCCTCCGGCCTCCGGCCGACGGGGTTTCTTATCCAGACACACCTATCCCTCGGTGTATAACTATTACATGAACCACAGGTAAGGTTACCTGTAATTGTAATCGCCAACTTAAACGTTATTTTGAACTTTACTTTCCGAAAATGTCTATTTGTGGTTAAAAAGGAAAACACCCTTTTTTAATTGCAAGCGTCCAAACCTTGTAAAATAATGATAACAATTATGGTCATTAAATAAAGCAAAACTTTCGGAAATGAACAATATATAATCAGTCCGTTTTTTTTATATTTCCATTTAAGGTTGTCTTCCTACCTTTCCTATGAGTTCCTTTTATATAGGTCTCTTTTTATCATATTACAGGAAGTTTTTTTAACTTATTATTGAAATATTCAGTATTTATAGATTATAACATGCCCTTTTCCATATTGGCCCTGATATCATCCTTCAACTCATATCGTTATCCCTCGACTCATATCGGCCCTCGAGTCGAGGGATGATACCAGGGCCAATATGGAAAAGACATGTTAAATAAAATTGAGAATGGAAATGGGTAATGTGTCAAAGAGACAACAACCCGACCATAGAGCAGACAACAGCAATATATTTATCACACATTTAAGATCTGCAGAAAAGAGAAAACACGTTCAATTCTACTATTTAATTAACGACAACAGGTAAATTATATTATATCTAAAAATGTTCAGTTCATCAATTGAAATGTCCGTTGGATTACGAAGCTCTTCAGCACTTTGTAACCACTCCCTTAGAACTGTAATGTCACTTTCAGTTTTTTCCTTGTGTTAGCGTTTTTTATTTGCTCTGCAAAGTCTGCCTTTGTTTTTCCTCCACTGCGATGAATTGAGCACCGTCATTGTTTGCCATTGTTGTTGACGCAACGACGTCACTTCATTCGGAATCAGAGCACAATAACCAATAACCTCTTTTTTGCCCCGGGCAGCAATATGAGTAGGACAATTCTGCGGTTATTACATATGCATAACCCAATGTTTTCGTAACAAATATGTGATAATAGAATTTACAATTGATAAAGAATATTCCAGATATGCTTATTATCTCAATTTTTAAAATTTCATTTTTTTCCTGTAGAAGTTTGCTCATCCAAATACTGATTTATATCTAACATTTAAAGGAATTATCACTAAACATAAAAATAACACTTAGTATATTTTGAATGTCCGAATAACATTTTTGAATTTACCTTCATCAGACGAACTTAAACCTAAAACATTAAAAAAAACGGCGAAACAGTCCTGTGTATTGTCAAAATATTGTTTTGTTAAATATATAAATTCCTTTTCGCTGGGGAAGGGGGATGGGGTCCTTCATTTCTGTATTATTTACTTTTAAGTCCGTTTTTCTCTATTCTTTATATTTTTGGGCAATTATTCTCTATTCTTTATAATTTTGGCCCATTATTCTCTATTCTTTATATTTTTTGTCCCATTATTCTCTATTCTTTATATTTTTTGTCCCATTATTCTCTATTCTTTATATTTTTTGTCCCATTATTCTCTATTCTTTATATTTTTGGCCAATTATTCTCTATTCTTTATATTTTGTCCCATTTTTCTCTATTCTTTATATTTTTTGTCCCATTTTTCTCTATTCTTTATATTTTTTGGCCAATTATTCTCAATTCTTTATATTTTTGGCCAATTATTCTCTATTCTTTATATTTTTTGTCCTATTATTCTCTATTCTTTATATTTTTGGCCAATTATTGCCTATTCTTTATATTTTTGGCCCATTATTCTCTATTCTTTATAAACTTGGCCAATTATTCTCAATTCTTTATATTTTTGTCCCATTATTCTCTATTCTTTATATATTTTTGGCCCATTATTCTCTTTTCTTTATATTTTTGTCCCATTATTCTCTATTCTTTATATTTTTTGTTCCATTATTCTCTATTCTTTATATTTTTGTCCCATTATTCTCTATTCTTTATATTTTTGGCCCATTAATCTCTATTCTTTATATTTTTAGTCCCATTATTCCCTATTCTTTATATTTTTTGTCCCATTATTCTCTATTCTTTATATTTTTGTCCCATTATTATCTATTCTTTATATTTTTGGCACATTATTCTTTATTCTTTATATTTTGGGCCCATTATTCTCTATTCTTTATATTTTTGGGCCCATTACTCTCTATTCTTTATATTTTTGGCCCATTACTCTCTATTCTTTTTTTTTTGTTCAATTATTATCTACTCTTTATTTATTTTACCCTTTATTCTGTAATTTTTTTCTCATTATTTTCTTTTCTGTTAACCTCATCCAGACCATCACTCGTCATTCAATGGGACTTGCACTGTTTTAAGTTAATAATACAAGTACTTATGAGAAAAACTGTTTATTTTCATTTTATATCTGTTTTTATTTGAATTCTTGCATGATATCTAGACACAGAAAAAACTATGATTGAATCAGTTATTCATAAATACAAAATATAGAGTATTTTTGACATCTGTATTTGGGCATGATACAGTACAAGCATGAGTACCATAGGGCTTTTGAAATTACTCGAAGGATAATATACTAGACACACACATAAAGTACTCAAGATCATCGGATAACTTCGATCCCAAAGATTCAGTTACCTGATAATTCTTTAAGTAAACTATATATACTTGGAACCTGAAATTAATACGGAGATCATCGTAGATAAAAATTGATAGGCAAACCCAGAAAAGAAATTTATCAATAGCTGATATGGCTTCCTTCCACGTTACACAGGTTTCGTCCATACATTTCGAAATTTCCGGTTCCGGTTGAACACGTCGTTTCCGACACTTCTTTGCAAGTGTAATTAATACAATATATACCGGTTCACGGTCAGACAGA